TATTTTAAGAAAATCAGAAATTATGTTTATTTAAAATATTAAAAAAGTTCTATCTCATAAGGAGACTTAGGAGACCCGATGCGGCTTTTAACTAATTTTATAATATTTTAACAACTTAAATGTAAAAATCTATTATAATTACGAAATAATAAATAATTGTATTAAAAATACATTTTTCATCGAAAAAATTTTTTGCTTTCAGAAAATATTGTCCATATTCATAAAAACAACTAAAAGCAAATAAAAGCATTTGAAATTAAATAATATCTTTGTTTTATTGAGTTTTGTATGTTACAATTCAGAGCTGATTTTCAGTAGGGGAGGGTCCAATTAAAAAAAACCAAAACAAAAAAAAACTATGATTTGCATTCCTCAAATCCTTGTGCTTTTAGCTATTGTAATCACTAAACCCGGTGCGATCGAATTTCTAGCGTTTTCATAAAATTAGTTATGGGGGGTGGGTAATAAATATTCTAAAAAAATATTTCTGCCATGACTTTAATAAAAAAAAAAAAAAAAATTATAATTTCGATCATAATTTTGGTGTATGCAGGACTGAGTTCTTATGGTGAATGAGTAAATTGCAATGAATGAATGGGTCGTGAGTTTATTTGACTAGGTGTAAGATAGCTAGTGAAAACCAGCCCCCTTCCTTCCCGCCTCGGCCTTGTGCCACAATTTTGTAATTTTACAAAATAAACATCCTCTCTTCTTGCTTTTCAACTGATACGGAAACATGTAAATCTCTCGTGGAGAACGCGTTTCCTTCGGGAAACGCATGTACATTGCATACACACACATACGTACGCACATACTTTGGACCAAAAACTTTCCACATTAATTTGTTACACATTGTCATTTGTTATAACAAAGTTATCTAATAGGTTAATGATACTGTGAAATACTATTACTCGTGCATTACCTAACATTTCTGTAATTTTAAATCTAAGTGGGACGATACTCTGTATGCTATCAAATATGGTAACCATTGCCAAAAAGCATAAATACATCTTTTTAATCATTGCTAATTCTATTACAGACGAAGCATTTCGTCAATTAGTCTCTTATTGGGCATTTATCATGAGGAATATAAAAATGTTTTGAACAAAGCGGTGTACTCGTTAATCCATGACAACACGCATAATTCGCCTGACAAAAAAAAATTGAAGAAAAAATATTTTACCCTTGATCATTACTTACATAATTTTAAAATGTAAACCTAACTTACCGTTCTGGTACTATCCAACTTCTATTTTATTTTCTGCTGAACGACAAATTTATCAAACGAACGTCCGTTTGCAGAAAATTGAACTTGATCGTCTGACATTTTGGCAAAACCATGGTTTCTTGTAATAAATATTTTACTTTGGTTTCAAACATGGCGTCTGTCACAATTAATAATCACGCAAAAACAGGGAGAAATTTAAACAAAAAAGTATTGGAAATTCGCAAGTTATTTATACTTAGTAAAGATTGGCGGTAAATGGACGGGTCCATGTCTTTGATTACCATGACTAGGGGGTTACTTACAATTTTTCAACAATATAAACTTCCTAACTTAAGGTTCGAGACAGTTCGCATTTGAACGCGTTATCAACGAATAAACAGTTTTGGGAATGGGGTTTCAGGACATTTCGAAGTTTTTAAAAAATGGGATTTTTTTTCTATAAATAATTACTTTGAAAATAAACTTTCCAGGTATCTTTGTTCTGAAATTGTGTATTTTTCTAATTTTTATTATAAAATTTATTTAAACCGTCATTGTTTTCTTAATAACAGTATTGATTTAAACTAATATTATATTAAAGTAGGTGCCTTCAGAAATTCGCTAAGCAAGGAGGTTCATGAAAAATGCCAAAACTTAAAAACAACATTTTATCGTCAAAATCTTTGTTATTATTAAGAGGAAAGATCAAAGGATTTTTTATATAAATTTTTTTTATTCTTTTTCGAAACTGAAATGTTTTGGGTTAAATCTTTTTTTTTTTTTCCGCCAATGTGGGTCGTTAAACTTGTATAGGAAATCTGATCGTTTTTTCTTTTGCAAAAGTCAAATAATCGTCGGATTCTAATAAAACTTTCAATACTTATTCACAAATGAATTAACTTATTTTAGATATGTTTTTGTTTTTTGTTGTTTTTTTTTTTTTTGGTGGGGGTGCATCTGTTACCCCTCACCTTCTGAAGAACCACATTTCTATTACCTCGTATTGTCTTCATCTGTCCAGCATTCACTGCCATATAAGAGGAACAGTGCCAAGTAACAGTTCTGCACTTTTATAATCGATACCTATATTAATACTTATTAATAGTCAGTCAGCCACTTATGTGCAATGCGTGATACACGCTTAGGCGATCATGCATCTTTTGATACATGACTGACGAGGCAGATATTTTGTAGGCTGCCATTTCTTTCTGTGGTATATCCAAGGCTATAGAACCCTGCTATACTGGGGAGAGAAGGGTATTAGCACGGTGCCACGTAACAGTTCTGCACTTTTATAATAGATACATATATTAAGGGTATTAGCATATAAGTGAATGTAATGGATTCGACTGCTATTCGAACTCGGCTCTCTGATAGCGGCTCGGATTGAGGAATCGGAGATTCTTAGAGCCGCTATCCATTACTCCACCTGTAATAGTAATAATTTCATTCATTTGTGAATAATCCCTGAAAGTTTTAATGTACTTGTTTAAAATAATAGTCCCCACAAGGAACGTGATGTGTTGACGTTAAAATATAGGATGCTTTCTTCACAGAGTAAATTATTTCCTTTATTATCGATTTTCTCCCAAGAATTCAATCACGATCCAAAATATTTTCAACACAGAATATAAATAAATTTAAGTCACGGTAAAACAGCGGTCCCGTACGTTCACCGAAGTTAAGCAACATCGAGCCTAGTCAGTACGTAGATGGTTGACTACTTGGGAATACCATGTGCTGTAAGTTCGGAATTATTAATTGGTGAAGCCGAGTTCCAATTTCAATTAGTTTCGTTATATTCACGCAATATTGGGAAAGGTATGAATGCACCTCGTCTCTCCTTAGCTATGGGTTAATTAGTAAGACTAATATCATTAAACCATTATTATATAAAAAAAAATTCTTAAGCATATCACCCCAAGCAAGGCAGGAGTGCCACTAGCATGCAAAGGGTTACAGAGAGTGAGAGTAAGAGTAAAGAGAGGTGTTTGAGGAAAGGATAAAGAGAAGGACGGAAATCAAGATAAATGCATCAGAAGATGTCGATTGACATTACATTTGAATATTTGAAGATTGTAGCTGTCAGGGAAGCAAGTAAGATGAAGGGAGTTCCACTGTCGGGAAGTGCGAGATAAGAAGCTGTTGGAGTAGAAGAGACGGCTACATTTAACCGTTTTGACAGTGAAACTAAATTGGCCACAAAGTCAGGATCATTTTATATATTTATTGCCATATAAAATTGACCCCCCATATAATATCCACACCATAATTTCTTGATTGTTTATCAAATTCTGCTTAGGTATAAATTCACCTCTTCTCCACCCCAGCTATGGTTTAATTAGTAAGATTTGTATCACAAAATCATTATTATCTCAAAAAAAATTCTTACAATTTAGAAATATATTCTGGCTTTAAATAACCTGCAAAGGGTTGATAAGCCGTAGAAAACGAATCAATTAATCCATAAAAAATGATTTCGTTTTAAAATTCAATCGTAAGGAATTTTTACAGAAGTCGATTTGCAAACGATTTATTTATTTGTGGCCGTTTATTTATTTCTATCTCATTTATTCATAATTATTGTGGATTCCGGGTTGAAATCCGGTACCAATAAATAACAAACGCCAGGAATGAATATATGAAAATAATGTATTAACGTAATAATACAAACTGGTAAAGCAGGTTAGTAGTTCCAGGAATACGGGTTAGTAGCAAAATATATATACGGTCTTTGGTATTGAAGTATCGCTGTATGACTTCTTACCGAGTCTACGTGCTCGCTCACTGTGACTCCTACAACGCTGTTACCTCACCTTCACTCTTCCCGTTACCTACAACCTTTCACACTCGACTCGACTCCTCGGTCTTGCTCTGTTCTTCGGGTATTCACTGGCAGTAGTATAAGTATACACTGGGTGAGTCCATTTGTATAAAAAGGGGTGGACCCCTCAACAATATATTTTATTTCTGAAAACGTTTGGGATCATGTTGATATTTACTTGCCTCCCCACGGTGGCAGGATGTTGTTTTAATATGGGGTACCCATCCGCATCCATATGGGCCAAGGACAATAATTCCCCGGTTCTCCAGTATCAATATCCACTAACTCCCTCTCTCTCTCTCTCTCTCTCTCTCTCTCTCTCTCTCTCTCTCTCTCTTTATAGTGCAATGAGGGAGATGCTGTTGCAGAAATGGAAACTCCAGCACTAGACTTCAATCATAGCATAAAGAAGAGGAGAATATATTCTACACTTTGTTTCTAGCGAGTAAATCTACCTCGTAAAAATCTATTTGCTACAAAAACTACAGCAGCAACACCTAATGTAGTGAGGCAGTGGGTCTCTGAAAAATTACATGTTAGTGTATTTTTATTGATTGATTTGTTTTTTACAGCTTATCAACCTTTTTGAGGTTATTTAATTCGAACATATTTTGGGATTGTAAGATTTTTTAAATATTAATGATTTTCTGATACGTCTACTATTTAATCCATAGCTGGGAGGAAAAGATGTAGCTATTTTCTAAGCGTAGCTTAGATGTGGCACAAGACAGAAAGTATAAAGCACACAGTGAGAATCGAACTCACTATTTAGTCGTAATTGATTTAGCGAGACAAGCTTGCTAGACATTATATCATGTCGAAGTGCCATGGGAGGAGAATAGGTGGATTTATACCTTTTCCAAGGGTATTTTCACGTAAGGGAATATAACAAACCCGATTTGAATTCGAACTCTGCTTTTCAATTTCTCATTTCAAGCCTTTATCCATTACACCACCCGCATATCCAAGCTTACAGCACCTGCTATTACCAAAAGGTCACTCGTCTCGGCACTAACCAGATTTAACGTTGCTTAACTTCTGTGATCGTACGATAACCGGTGTTTCAACGTGATATGGCCGTAAGCTTAATCTATTTTTAATCTTACCCAGTATTCCAAAAAGCAAGGTACGTGTGGCTTATTCTATTAAAAAAAAAAAAAAAAAAAAACGTATTCCGTGAAAAATTGAAAATATATTCATTAAGTGCAACACATTCTTCACTATTTTATTGTTCGGACTGTTGTCCTCGTCTTTACTGTCACATTAACGACGTTTCGACAGGTTTATGCTTCGGCCTTTTTTAGGTGATATTTGTTAGAATTGTGAACCAAACCCTTTATTTAAGTCCACGTGCCGTGCCTTTGGTTATCTCAGTTTTAGTTAATCTACCTTGCTAACTCTCCAAGTTTTTGTTATCTCCGCCGAGGCCAGTGATTGAACTCAAAACTTTTTGGTTCAAGTCACTTTTCGGATCAATCAACCAACTCTTTTATCCCGTGGTCTATGTGAAGAAGGCCGGCGTATACAACAACTGAAACGTCATGAATGTGACAGTAGAGTTGAGGACAACAGTCCGAACAATGTAAATAGTTACAATACCTAATTTCGGAAATATTGACAGATGTTTAAATATAACATATTATGTATTTAAACTGCACTTTCGGGAGATTCAGTGAATTTGTGCCTATTGTAATTAACAACTAAAACTTGCAAGCTGATATTCGCCTTTGAGAATCTGTTACTCTGTTTCACAAGAATCGATTTGCTATAATCACTTTTTATAATAAGATTTCTGAACGAAATAAAGAGTAACTTTGAAGAAAGACTAAAATCAAACTCTACGCAGATCGTCTAGCAGTCAATAGTAGCTACTGCTGATTCAATTTTTTTTTAATTTTTTCTTTTTAAGCGTTTCACCCCAAGCAAGGCGGGAAGCCACTAGGACGCAAGAGGTTACAGAAGATTTGGAGCAAGATCAGATAGGAGTGATAGAGGAAAGGATGAGGAGAAAGATAGTGGTTAGATCAAGGCAACTGGAGATGTCGATTGACATTACATTTGAATAGTTGGAGATTATAGCTCTCAGGAAAACTGGAATAGGGAAGGGAGTTCCACAGGCGAGAGGTGCGAGACATGAAGCTATTGGAGTAGAAGAGACGGCTACATTTAAGAGTTTCGACAGTGAAAGGGTGAGAGCGGGATGCCAGCCTCGTAAGGCGCTTGAACTCATGAAGTCTGGGAACCAGCGAATGCAGCTCCTCGGAGCAATTGCCATGAAAGTATTTGTAAAAAAGACAGAGAGAGGCGACGGCGCGTCTGTGAGAAAGTGACTGTAAACGAGATGCCAGAACAGGGCCAATTATATTGCATATCCGCCTCTGGAGCTTATCAAGAACCCCGAGGCAAACAGAAGGAGCTCCAGACCATATATGGCAGCAATACTCCATGCAAGGGCGAATTGTTGATTTGTAGATCTGGAGGATCGATTCCGGGGAGAAAAATTTTCTAGCGCGGCACAGGGAGCCAACTTTCCTTGCGGTGGCCGATGAAAGCCAGATGTTTTACAGCTAAGTTGCTGATCATTTTGCTCGTAAGCCAAGAAGAATTCTATTGAATAATGTCTAAAAATTATAAATTAAGATAACATTATGCGTTACTCCTTCTTATTTGTGTTAGATTAATAAACATCATTTATTTCTGTTTTAAATCATAAGATGATTATTTTCTTTCTCCAACATAATTTCTCAAACAAGTTCAATAAATCTACTGCAAAAATGGAAGTTGACGCCTACGATCGCGAACGTTTAAGGAACGATAATACTAGAGAACCAACAAACAAACAAAAAAAGGAGAAACTTGTGTGTGTAGTGTCGAGAAATTGCTCCCGTTCCCGAACAAGTGACACCAAGTTCGATATAGAGGTTAACAATGTAAACAAAAACAGCGAAGGAAATAAACAACAAAACGCGCGATGTTTATAGAAATAAGAAAGAGAAACTTTATTTACAATATAATCAACTGTTAGACATAAAGAAATAATTCCTAATTGCACTAATAATTGGTTTAAGTGCTATGGGATTATTTCCAGCCATTTAACATCAAACACGTAAAATAAAACAATTTTTTTTCATATACTTACTAGCGGAACGAAAACGATATCGCGGCTCTTTGCACCAGAGCTGTTATTTTTTGGTTTTGTTTATATATCAAATATGTGGTGCAGTTCAATTTATATTACATGAATCATTCATACAAAAAGTAGATTAGTAAAGTTAATGATATAAAATGGCGAAAACTCTGCGCAAACAAAATTTTTAAGTTGCATTAACCTACGAACCACTCGATGAATGTTATGATCCTTGTTTTTAATAACTACAAGTTGTATAAGGTCTTTTTTTAATCTACTAGTACTTTCAACTGTACACACAGTCACCCTCAGGCATGGAAATTATTTTGTTTTTAGTAAATCCATGTAGCATCAGAGACGAAAGATTAAATGCGAATCCAAATACGTTTTTTTAGAAATGTGTTATTGTTAACGGATAAAAACTTTTGGAGCGTGCAGTCGAAACGCTAAGGTTGAATTTTTTTGAAAATTTAAGAGAGTGCGTTTTTTACTAATATGGTAATTTGAGAATTTTTTTGTTGTAGGAGGTTTTCAGTCAATGTGGCATGAACTAAATTGTTCAATAAATGGAGTAATGTCTCAGCTGTTATTCCAAAAATTTGCACGTCGGATCAGTTCTTCGCTATGTCAGATTTAAATGTTAATTTTCAGGACGTTTTCATTTTGTAGAGTGAGTTATATCAATTTACCAGTGAATTCTATCTTCACATTGTGCAACTTATTTTTTCTTTCTTTCTTTGGTACAATTTTATACCAGCTCGGGTACTGCCAATGTCTTTCATCCATATTTGATCTATCTGCTTGCTATTACTGCTCGGTAACCATGACAAATATGGTAAGAATATTAGAATAATCCAGAACCTATACTGGCAGCAAACTGTCTGCACGGATAGAAAACCAATTCATTAAATATACAAAAAGAGAAAGGGGTGTAAGACAAGGATGTGTCTTCTCACCGGACTTATTCAACTCATAAAGTGAGGAGATTCTGAGAGAATTAGAAGTCCTACCAGGATTCATTATTGACGGCCACAATCTTAACAACATAAAATATGCAGATGACACAGTGTTGATAGCAGACACAGAAAGAAAACTACAAGAACACCTGCAAAAGGTCGTCAAGGAACGCAATGACTAACCATCTAAAGATCTGTAAAAAAAACAGAAAGCATGGTTGTTAGCAAAAGGAACAGGCAGCTCAACATGCACATTATAAATTGGAGATACCAAAATCAAACAAGTACAACAATTTAAATATCTTTGAAATGTTTTAACAGCTGAGGGAAAATGCTACACTGAAATCCGAAGGCGCAGTGAGATAGCCAAAGATGCCTTCCAAAACCTAAGCAAAGTATTAAACAAAAATTTCGTTAGAAACAAAGAAAAGAGTACTGAACTGTTACGTAGTATCAGTCCTCCGATATCGAAGTGAATGCTAGACAATCTCCTCACAGATGAAGAAACTTGAAGCAACATAAATATGGCTCTACAGAAGGATGCTGAGAATACCAAGGACCGAACATGTGAGCAACGACGACGTTTTAGAGAAAATGGAAACAAGAAGGACACTGATATTCAACATCAGGAAGAGGCAGTTGAAATTTCTAGGGCACATAATGAGGAAATAGAGCTTGGAAAATTAAACACTCACAGGACAGATTGAAGGCAAGTGGGACAGAGGAAAACCACGCATAATCTACTTAACGAGATTATGTAAATGTCTGACAGAACAGGGTCCAGAAGAGATAGCAAAAAAGACAAACTTTACTAAAGACAGGACGTTGTAAAGTGTGGGGCACCCAGTGAGGATTGAACTCAGTGCGTAGTCGCAATTGTTCTAACGAGACAAGTTTGCTAAGCATTATACCACGTCGAGTGCCCAAACGTTGCTAAATATGAAAGGCTTACCTTGTCGTGTGTAATAAGTAACAGACTAATCACAGTTACAGAGTAGAGAGTTCGATACTCACTGGATACTTCATAACTGTGCCTTGTGCCCAAATTGAGCTAAGCTTAGTAAATAACAACTACGAAAGACTTGACCAAAGCGCAAAATCATTTTTTTACCTACGGTTTTATATAAGATTTCCTTTTCTGTGTGGTCATTAACGTTCATGCGTTTTCGTTCAAATTCTTTCAAAGAAAATTCCAATCAAACAGCTTTTTCCACAAGAACTGTGAAACATACTCCCTTGTGGATACTTCTCTGAGCACTGCAATTTTAACCTTTTCAAGTTTAAGGTTCAATCTTTATCGTTCTCATAATCTTCACTTCCTACCAACTCTTCTTTTATTCATATCATACACCTTCTTTATTAAGCCTTTACCTTGAGTGGCTCGTGAGTCTTGTACTGGGTTAATTCTATGATTTTAAAAAAACTGAAGCCAAATCTGATTAACCAGCGGACTCAGTACTGGAGTAATGTGATTTATCTCCGTTTCTTCAGAATGTGTGCAGAGATTACGAGAAATTTAAATGTATGGCAGCCATTTTGGAAGGACGAGTAATGATGCCCTAGTAATAAAACAGTGAAAACTGTTGTGTAACTTCAGTTTAAAGTATCAAGCAGTACGGTTGATGTTGCTCATCATACCTGCAACTCATAAATCAACATAGATGTGTAAGTATTGAAAGGAGAATGAAGAAAAAGAATGGTAGACACGGAGAGAATTGCTGCTGAAAATTTCAAAAGAACATTTTAAATTGCTCGGAATTTAACAGACACTTTTAAATTAAGATGTTATTGTTGTTAGTACTGAAGAACTTTTCTTTTCGTTTATTGTATCTTAAACTTTTTTTTTTATTTCTTATTCTGTTCATTCCCGATGATGTCGCCATTTTCGTGTTCTTTCATTTATTATTCACGTTCTGTTATCTTGTTTTGCCTTTCATAAGGAATAATACTAAGTTTGGTTTTAGAATTCCGAGGAAATTTCAAGTATAACAGTGGTGTAG